CCCACAGGGTATTGCTTGACTGGAACAGGCGGGGCAGCAGCCACAAGTTCTACAACTACTGGCGGATGGTGCTTTGCCAGTCCTGGAGGATTTGATTCTGCCCGGACCCGGGGAAAAAAGAGTTTGCAGACCGAGTAGGAGAGGGTGAGTTTTGCCCTTCTCGGCTGTGAGGACAAGCTATTCCTCCGACAGGGGCAGTCAGCAGGAGCTGAGCGGGCGGGGGCTCCGTGTCCGCTAACTTGAGACGGACTTGCTGAGCTGAGGACGAGACGGAGGACTGTGACTCGTGACGCAGGTTTTGTCCAAGGGAGGGAAGGGGCACTCTGGAGCTACTAGAAATGAATGATACTCTCTTTTCACCTAAGTTCACCTCACGTGAATGGGTGACAGGATATTCCTGAATAGCTCCGGTAGCCCCCTGTGCAGCCACCCCTGTTAGAGACACTGCCCAAGGGTGTTTGCAGCATAGAATGTTCGGCCCTCGTGTTGATTAGAAAACGTACAGGCTAGCCCCCCTGTTGGCTTGCTCTTATATTCTTTCCTGTGTGAACTCAAGAACCCATGTGGCCTCCTGGCCTCGCCCCAATTTGGCGGTCTGCCCTGTGACACACAGACACACAGTCAGTTGTTTTATTTTCCTTCTCTCTCTCTTTCTCTCTTTCTCCCCTGACCCTCTTTTTCCCTTTCTTTCTTTTTTTGAGACAGGATCTCGTTCTGTTGCCCAGGCTGGAGTGGTGTGATCACAGCTCACTGCAGCCTCGACCTCCCGAGTTCAATCAATCCTCCCACCTCAGCCTCCCTAGTAGCTGGGACTGCAGGTACACAGCATCATGCCCAGCTGGTTTTTGGTATTTTTCATAGAGATGGGGTTTCACCATGTCGTCCAGGCTGGTCTTGAACTCCTGGGCTCAAGTGATCTGCCTGTCTGGATCTTCCAAAGTGCTGGGATTGCAGGCAAGAGCCACCAACCCCTGGCCTAGCTGTCATCTTGCTGTGTTACCACATGGTGGAGAAAAGAGAGCTGGTCTCTGGCGGCTGCTGTGCTGCTTTTTTTTTTTTTTTTTTTGAGATAAGAGTCCTGCTCTGTCACCCAGGCTGGAGTGCAGTGGCGAGATCTCGGCTCGCTGCAACCGCTGCGTCCCTCGTTCAAGGCATTCTCCTGCCTCAGCCTCCCAAATAGCTGGGACTACAGGCACCTGCCACCACGCCTGGATAATTTTTTTTTTTAGACGAAATCCTGCTCTGTCACTCAGGCTGGACCACAATGGCACAATCTCAGCTCACTTCAACCTCCCTGTCTCAGGTTCAAGCGATTCTCCTACCTTAGTCTCCCCAGTAGCTGGGACTATGGGTGCATGCCACCACACCTGGCTAATTTTTTTATGTTTAGTAGAGAATAAATGTTGTTCACTATGTTGGCCAGGATAGTCCCAAACTCCTGATCTTGTGATCTGCCCACCTCGGCCTCCCCAAGTGCTGGCATTACAGATGTCAGCCATGACGCCCCACTGTTGCTTCTTATAGGGCACTAGTCCCATTGACGAGGGCTCCACTTTCATGACCTAACCACCTTCCAGAGGCCCCACTTCCTGATACGATCACATTGACGGTCAGGATTTCAACAGATGAATTCAGCACGTGGGGACACACATATTCTGTTCTCAGTGCTCCACATGTGCTGGTCATGGCTGAGCAGGCCAGTCCCAGCTGTCACGAGGTAACGGTCACAAGAGTCTTGAGGGAAACGCAACAGGCTAGTTTACTGCATGAGTGCTCATCAAAACCCCTGATGGGAAATGTCATCGCATTCACTCTGAGTCCTCTCACGGGGGCCCACAGGCCTGTCTACAGGCCACTCCTGGCCACCTGGAAGGGGAGAGGCAGAAACTCTAGCTAAGTGTTCAGCTGGGAGAGTTGCAGTGGGAGAGGAGGAGGAGGGAGCATAGGACTGGGTGGTGCCTGGATGGGGTCTGCAAGGCAGCAGGAAGCAAAGATGGCTTCAGATCCACCTGGGCTAGGTGGGAGTCCTGGCTGGGGGTCTCATGGCCTGAGTTGGCCTGTTCTACTGCATGGGCTTCCCAGCCTCCACCCGTCCTTCTGCTTAGGGAGCCAGCCCTCTCCATCCAGCAAGCTGTCTTTGCTGCCGCCACTAGAGAAGCCCCCACAGTGCCTGTCACTGTATGTGAGGTAGAGTGATGCCGGCCCCCGGTGAGAGGTTCCGATGCTGGCCTTGGGAGCGGGGCAGAGGCAGGCTGGGCGGAGGCCATGGACTGCATCCTCACCTGTGTGCACAGGGGTGTCTTAGATGCGCCATGCGTGTGAGTCCTCTCCGCCACCGTTGCCACGTTTCACGTCTACATTGTTAGAAACCTTGATATCTTATTTTTGCTGCACCTACTTATTTTATAGAAAATAAAAATCTTTCCACCACATCTCTCATTTCCTACACTCTTCCATCTTGTAGATCTGAGTCTCCAGATTGTACCACCTTGCATCATCTGCAGCCTGAAGAACTTTCTTTTTTTCCTTTTTTTGAGACGGAGTGTTACTCTGTTGCCCAGGCTGGAATGCAACGGCATGGCCTCGGCCCACTACAACTTCCACCTCCCAGGTTCAAGCAATTCTCCCGCCTCAGCCTCCGAGTAGCTGGGACTACAGGTGCGAGCCACCACACCCAGCTAATTTTTGTATTTTTAGTAGAGACGGGGTTTCACTATGTTGGCCAGGCTGATCTTGAGCTCCTGACCTTGTGATCTGCCCACCTCCGCCTCCCAAAGTGCTGGGATTACAGGTGTGCGCCACCATGCCCGGCCTTCTTTTTTGAGATGGACAACTCTTGTTGCCCAGGCTGGAGTGCAATGGTGCGATCTTGGCTCACTGCAACCTCCACCTCCTGGCTTCAAGTGATTCTCCTGCCTCAGCCTCTTGAGTAGCTGGGATTACAGGTGCTTGCCACCATGCCTGGCTAATTTTTCAATTTTTAGTAGAGACGGGTTTCACCATGTTGGTCAGGCTGGTCTCTAACTCCTGACTTCAGGTGATCCGCTTGCCTCAGCCTCCCAAAGTGCTGGGGTTACAGGCGTGACCACTGCACCAGGCCTGAAGAACTTTAACACTGCTTATTCCTTATTCACTGTAGTAAAATTTTTACAGCATAAAAGTTGTCATTTTCACCTTTTTTTTTTTTTTTCTTCCTGAGACAGAGTCTTGCTTTGTCCCCCAGCCTGGAGTAAGTGGCACAATCTCAGCTTGCTGCAACCCCTGCCTCCAGGTTCAAGCAATTCTCCTGCCTCAGCCTCCTGAGTAGCTGGGATTATAGGTGCCTGCCACCAGGCCCTGCTAGGTTTGTATTTTTAGTAGAGACGGGGTTTCGCCATGTTGGCCAGGCTGGTCTTGAACTCCTGCATGATCCGTCCGCCTTGGTCTCCCAAAGTGCTGAGATTGCAGGAGTGAGCCACCTGGCCCGGTCTAGCCATTTTAATGTGCACAATTCAGTGGCATTATTACCGTCACAACTTTGTATAACCATCACCACTACTTTCAAAACGTTTTCATCACTCCAGACAGAAATCCTACACCCATTAAACAATGCTTCTTAATCCTCCTTACCCCAGCCCCTGAACCTTTAATCTAATCTACCTTCTGTCTCTAAGAATCTTCATTCTAGATACTTCATGTAAGTAAATCACACATTTGTCTTTTTGCGAGTGGCTTATTTTACAGAGCACAGTGTTTTCAGGGTTTATCCATGGCAGGTGTCCCCAAACTTTTTACACAGGGGGCCAGTTCACTGTCCCTCAGATCGCTGGAGGGCCGCCACATACTGTGCTCCTCACTGACCACCAATGAAAGAGCTGCCCCTTCCTGAAGTGCGGCGGGGGGCCGGATAAATGGGCTCAGGGGGCCGCATGCAGCCCGCAGGCCGTAGTTTGGGGACGCCTGATCCATGGTATATCCTGTGTTAGAATCTCCTTCCTTTTTAAGGGTGAAAAATATTTCATCGTTTGTATGGACCACATTTTGTTTATCCTTCCATCTACTCATGGACGCATGGGCTGTTTCCCTTTGGCTCTTGTGAAAAATGCTGCAGTGAACATGGAGGGCGCAAATTAAGTCTGAGTCTCTGATTTCCATTCTTTTGGGAATACAGCCAGAAGTAGGGTTGCTGGATTATACGGTCGTTCTCTATCTTTTCTTCTAGAAAGGCAGATTCCCACATGCAGCGCCTCCTGTGGATGTGTGTGGAGTCTTGACAACCCTACGCTCCCCCACAAATGGAGCTTGAGCGCTTGTCTGGAGGGTCTAGCGGGGGAGCGCAGCTCCTCTAGCGGGTAGGGTCGTCCTGTTCGACCGAGCCGCAGCTTCGGGAGGGACGCGCTCGCAGCGGCGAGGACGGAAGGGACACCCGCCCAGCCAGCCAGAGCAGCCGAGTCCACCCTGGCGGTTACTGCGGTGACAGACGCCGCGGCCAGATCGCCCTCACATCCGGCAGTTCTCCTTTTAACCTCTTGAGGAATCTCACTAGTTTTCTGCGGCGCCGCGCCATTTACATTCCCACCGACAGCGCACAGAGGTTTACACGGGAACACGTTTCTACGGACGAACCAAAAGCTTTCAGGCTTTCCGAGCTCCATGTCTACCCAAGGAACCCTGCTGTCCCGCGTCTTCTCCTCCGGCCACAGTGAGAGCGTCCGCAGAGCCTCCCGGGTCAACAGGAACCGTTCACCGGCCGTGCTCCCATGGGGCCCCCCGGAGAGCCTCACTCTCACCCGGCGCGAAGTGAAACGCAGGGGCGTGGGAAGGCGCGGCGGTGCGGCCTGGGGCGGCCCCGGGTCTCGCCCCTCCCGCAGTCTCCCAACGGGACGCGAACTCGGGCGGCACAAGCCGAGCCGGACGACTCCCCAGAGCCCGAACCGCCGCTTCCCGGCCGCCACCGGGCCACTTCCGGGCGCTCACTAGTGACGTCAGCCCTCTCTGCGCGTGCGCGCCTCCGCCTCCTGCCATTGCCAGGGCGACGGCGGGTCGCAGGTGGCCGGGGGACATCCGGGCCGTTTCCCCGCGGCCCCGCCCCGCCCCGCCCGCGGGGAAACGGTCGCGTAGCGATGACGTCGCGGGGGCCTGGCCGGGCGTCGGGGACTCAGGAGATGGAGGAAAAGGAGATATTACGGCGGCAGATCCGCCTCCTGCAGGGTAGGTCCTGCCGGGCCGGGACGCGAGTCCCGTTCTTCCCGCCTCACCTCGCGGCGGGTCCCCAGCCCCCCTCGTCGGAGGGGTCGCTCTCCGCCCGCGGGCTCCGAGTGTCGGCCTGGGTGGGGGACCGTGGGGTCTGTCAGGACTTGCGGGCCGGCGCGGGGCGCGGGTCGGTCCCCTGCTCCAGCTTCGTGGGGGAGGGAGTGCTGCCGGCCCTGCGGCGGCCGCGGGGGGCGGGGGCGGGGGCGGGGGCGCGGCCGTCGCCTGGTAACCCCCGCCCCCGAGCTGTGGGGCTCCCCGGCGCCCACCCTCTGTGCCCGCGCCCCGCTGCGGGGCTGGGACTGGTTCCGTCCTTGACGCCCGTTTTTATTTGTTTGTTTTTTAGAGACAGAGGCTTGCTCCGTCGCCCAGGCTGGAGTGCGGTGGCGCGATCTCGGCTCGCTCTCACCTCCGCCTCCCGGTTCAAGCCATTCTCCTGCCTCGGCCTCCTGAGTAGCTGGGGCTACAGGCACGCGCCGCCACGCCCAGCTAATTTTTGTATTTTCAGTAGAGACGGGGTTTCACCGTATTGGCCAGGCTGGTCTCCTAACTCCTGACCTCAGGTGATCCGCTCGCCGCGACCTCCCAGAGTGTTGGGATTACAGGCGTGAGCCACCGCGCCTGGCCTCGACCCCCGGTTTTGATGCCCCTTTTCTCCGTACGGTCACATTCCTCTTGCTGTTCCAGACGCAGACTCAACAGGCTTCAGCTTCCACACTTAAACATTTTGAAACCCAAATTGGTCTTTCCAAACTTAAACAAAATAAAACAAAATTCATGGGCAGACGCAGTGGCCCACGCCTGTTATCCCAGCACTTTGAGAGGCTGTGGCAGGAGGATGGCTTGAGCCCAGGAGTTTGAGACCTTCCTGGGCAACCTGTGCAAGACCCTGTCTCTACAGAAAAATGTTAAAAAATGAGATGGGCATGGTGGCTCGCGCCTGTAGTGCCAGCTACTAAGAGGCTGAGGTGGAAGGTTCGCTTGTGCCCGGGAGGTCCTGGCTGCAGTGAGCTGCGTTTGGGCCTCTGCTCTCTAGCCCGAGCAACAGCGAAATCCGTCTCAAAAGCCAAAACCAACCAACCAAACAAAAACTAATAAAATGAAAATGAAAATGAAAAATCCGTTTTGCTTTTATTCTCTCTAAGGAAGAACTTAAAGATCGGGAAATCATGTAGGCAGGAGAGGCCAGGTGGGCCGCCTCCCACTTGGGGTCACTTCTCAGGCTCACATTTCATGTGCTCTTGGGTGTCACCAGGTCTGGACATGGCTTTCTGTGCCCCTGGGGGCAGGGGCTGTGGCAGGGAATGCTGACAGGGGAGTCTGGCTGTTGCTGGTTTGCTGGGTGAGTCGGAGCACCCCTGGCTGCTGCTGTCCTTGTCCAGGGACTTAATTGTGGTTGTGTCAGTTCATTGCAGTAGGACTCCAGCCCATTGCTGTCTCCTCTTCTGCAGGGAAGACTGTGACATCTGATAGGGCAGTGGTCTATGCTTCTAGTACTCCTATTTTCTTTTTTTGAGATGGAGTCTCGCCCTGTCACCCAGGCTGGAGTGCAGTGGCATGATCTCCGCTCACTGCAATCTCTGCCTCAACCTCCCGAATAGCTGGGATTACAGGTGCATGCCATCATGCCCAGCTAATTTTTGTGTTTTTAGTAGAGACAGGGTTTCACCATCTCGGCCAGGCTGGTCTTGAACTCCTGACCTCGTGATCTGCCCTCCTCGGCCTCCCAAAGTGCTGGGATAACAGGCGTGAGCCACCGTGCGTGGTAGTCTTCTTGTTCCCTTTTGTCAGGCATGGAGTCCTCGGGAGTGCCGGTTCTGTCACACTCAGCGGAGCGCCCCCTTTCCATCTGTGGGCAAGCCAGAGGGCCAGTGCTATCATCCGATCCAAGTAATACAGAGGGGATCGCTGCTGTTGTCTTCATACTGAGTGACACTTCTCATCAAAGGATTGTGGACCCAGTAGACCAGCAAATAGGGGTTGTTATACCACATGGTTCATTTTTGTGTTAAGCAGGCGAAACTAGGATTGAAGTGAAGCTGATGGAGAAAAGGCTCATGGAAGCGACAAGCCCACATGACGTGGGCTGAGTTGTCAGTGAGTCCCAGGTGCTGGGGGCTGTCCCTCCTGAAACTGGCAGGGGCTCAGACGTGAGATGGGGTCTGGGGGTATCTTGCCACTGATGCCCTTTGGGGGTGGTCATGATGGTTGCGTTACCCTCTGGCCGAGCCTGTGGTTCTCTCTTCTCAGGTCTGATCGATGACTACAAAACCCTCCATGGCAATGCTCCAGCCCCAGGCACGCCAGCAGCTTCCCAGTGGCAGCCACCCACTTACCACAGTGGCAGGGCCTTCAGTGCCCGCTACCCTCGTCCAAGCCGGAGGGGCTACTCCTCACACCATGGGACCTCGTGGCGCAAGAAATACTCCCTTGTGAATCGGCCTCCGGGACCCTCAGACCCACCTGGCGACCATGCTGTGCAGCCATTGCATGGGGCTAGGGGTGGCCAGGCTCCTGACCCACGGCAGCATGTCCTTGAGAGACAGGTCCGGCTCACTCAAGGTCAGAATATGGTCACCAAAATTAAACCACCATCAAAGTCTGGCTCTGCCAAGGCCTCAGGGGCCCAGCGGGGCTCTTTGCGAGAATATGAGGACACCCCCTGGAGTGACCAAAGGCCCCAGGAAGGTGAAGGTGAGCCCCCTAGGGGACAGCTGCAGCCCTCAAGACCAGCAAGAGCCAGGGGCACCTGCAGTGTGGAAGATCCTCTTCTGGTCTGCCAGAAGGAGCCTGGTAAGCCCAGGGTGGTGAAGTCTGTGGGCAACGTAGGCGACAGCCCCCTGGAGCCCCGCCGGACTGTCAGTGAGAGTGTGATTGCCGTCAAGGCTAGCTGCCCATCCTCCGCTCTGCCCCCGCGCACTGGCATGGCCCTGGGCCGGAAGGTGGGTTCTCATTCTGTGGCCAGCCGTGCTACACAGCTCCTCGGAGATGGGAGAGTAGATGCCGGCCCCGCGGATCAGCCAGTTCTGGCTGGCTCCGTGGTGGGCCCGGCCAGACCGGCCTCAGGACCCAGGCAGGCCCGGGAGGCCTCGCCGCCTGTGTCCTGTCGAACTAACAAGTTCCGGAAAAGCACCTACAAATGGGTGGCCGCCTCTGCGAAGAGTCCCCGGGCCGCTCGGAGAGTGCTCAGCCCCAGAGTGGCTGCAGAGAACGTGCGCAAGGCTGCCGCTGGCGTGGCCAGTAAGGTGGAGAAGCCGCAGCTCAGAGCCGACCCAGAGCTCAAGCCCAGGAAGCCAGCCACGTCCTCCCAGCCAGGGTCTGCCCCCAGCAAGTACAAGTGGAAGGCATCCAGCCCCTCTGCCTCCTCCTCTTCCTCCTTCCGTTGGCAGTCGGAGGCTGGCAGCAAGGAACGTGCCTCCCAGCTCTCCCCAGTCCTGTCTGGGTCCCCGTCGGGGGACGGACCAGCAGTAGGACCCAGTGGTTTGAAGCCCCTCTCTGGGGAGACCTCAGTCTCAGCTTACAAAGTGAAAAGCCGCACCAAGATCATCCGGAGGCGGGGCAGTACCAGGTGGGCATCTCGGCCGGCTGTCGGGGAGTGTGAGGGGCTGTGAGGAGGGTTTGTTGGTGCTCCAGGTGCATCCGCTGAGCTCGGAGCTTCGCCTGCGGTCAGCTTCACGTCTCCAGCAAGGAGTGAGGCAGGGAGTGCTCCCGTCTGGCAGAGCTTTGGGTCAGGCTCAGGGCGGTTCGGGGGCTTGCCTAGGGCCCGGCACAGGCTGGGAAGGGCAGGTGTCCCTCCCTCATGGTGCTGGCATCCCGTCCTTTCTCCTGCCGGTGAGAGATGAGAAGGTTGTTGGAGGCAGCTTCTGTTCCAGTTGCCTAGGGTTCACAAAGAAGGCTTTGTGCCAGGCCAGGTGCAGGGGGAACAGCCCCCAGGGACCAGAGCAGGGTCCACGTGTCCCCGGGAGGTGAAACAGAGCAGTATGTCTGCCCCTGACCTGGAGCTGCCAGCCACAGGTCTGTGCCGGGAGGTGGACTGGGGCTCTGGGTCCTGCCAGGGGTGCCTGATTTTTCCTGCATGGCCTGAGTCTAGGGCTTGGGCTCCAGGAGGCCTGGCCTTTGCTGGCCCCCAGGCTGAGGGCTGCTCCTGCTGGGCTGACTGGATGGGGGCTGGCAGCTGCTGGTAGGTGGCAGCCTCCTTGGGCGTTCCCGGCTTTGGGCTCTGTGGCCTCCCTTGCAGAGTGCGGCGGCTGCAGTTGCTCTTTGGCTCCAGGGTGGGCAGATTGGTGTTAGGTCCCAGCCCCCTTGGCCAAGCAGCTGGGCAGAGTGACTCCCTTGCTTGGCACATCTCTCTGGCCTTCCACCCTTGCGGACTTGGGATGAGACTCAGAGGTGGTGTCGTGGCACAGTGCTGGGTCTGGGCTCAGGGACTCCCATCAGGTCGGCAGCTGAGGTGGTGGCTGCACCTGCTGGGCAGAGGGCAGAGGTCCTGCCTTCATCATCAGACATGGTGGCACCCTGTCTCGGAGGCACCTCCTTGCTCTGACCCCTTGCTGTCTGGCCTAGGTTGCTGGGTCATGTAGCGCATTCTCTCTGGCCCTGGTCCCTCAGACAGGCGCCCGGATCCTGCTTCTGGCAGCTCTGCTGTAAACCGTGCTGGTGGCTATCTCTGTCTGGGAATGTGGAGAGGGAGTGTAGAGAAGCTGCCCCCTTACTGAGGGGGCTCAGAAGGCCACGTGGAGCCGGCGGCCCCTCCCCTTGCCCCACACAGGGGCTCCTCTGGCCTGGGTCAATGGGGAGGAGGTGGCACGCAGGTGGGGATGGAGCACTGAGGTCCCTCTTCTCTCCGTGGCAGCCTGTCCTAGCTCGGGAGTCATCTGGGCTTGTGGATTCAAGCCCACCACCTCAGCCTGGCTGTGGAGGGTGGGCCGAGCTGCTGTAGGGGGAGGCCTGGCCCTGACCTTTGGGGGCTGCTCCCATGCCTCTTAAGTCCTGGAGAGGAAGGGTGAGTGGGCAGAGCCCCCAGGGCCTGTGGAGAGCTGCCTGCATTTTGTTCCACAGCCTTCCTGGAGACAAGAAAAGCAGCCCCTCCCTTGCTACCACCGCCAAGAGCCACCTCAGCCTCCGGCGGAGACAGGCGCTCCGGGGGAAGAGCAGCCCTGTCCTGAAGAAGACCCCCAACAAGGGCCTGGTACAGGTTACCACACACCGGCTGTGCCGCCTGCCCCCGAGCCGGGCCCACGTCCCCACCAAGGAAGGTACGTTGCAGGCAGCAGCGCTGGGGCTGGAGCTGGGCACGCCTGCACTGGCTCTGCCAGCCTGTTGGGAGCCATGGGCACCTTCCCTGTCTCGTGCTGTTAGAGGCCCTGGCCAGGAGGGCACTGCCTGGCAGGCAGTGGGTTGTGGGCTGGCCGGTAGAGGAGAGGGCCTGGGTGCTGTGCCCTGTGGTCCGGGTGTGGGATGTGCTGCTGGATAGGCGCTGTGGCCTTTTCCGTGTGTCCCTTGGTGTGTACCCAGCTCTGTCCCTCCTGAGGGAGGAGAGGGTGGCTGCTGAGCCCTGAGGTGGGGGTGAAGCCCTCACTTGTGCTGTCCTGGGCACCCCCAGGCCTCTGGCTCCTCCAGGGACCTTCTGTGCTCTTCCGGCTGAGGCTGCAGATCCACCTGCCCTGCCCTTTCTCAGTGTCATGTGGTGCTGTGTTTTTGTTTTTTTTTTTTCTTGAGACAGAATCTTGCTTTCGCCACGCTTAGCTCACTGCAACCTCCAGCCCCTGGGTTCAAGTCATTCTCCTGCCTCAGCCTCCCAAGTAGCAGGGACTATAGGTGCACACCACCACGCCCGGATAATTTTTGTATTTTTTGTAGAGACAGGGTTTTGCCATGTTGGCCAGGCTGGTGTTGATCTTTTAACCTCATGAGTTGCCCACCTTGGCCTCCCAAAGTGCTGGGATTACAGGTGTAGCCACAGTGCCTGGCTCAGGTGAGTTTTTCGAGTGGCCTGACAGAGCCGGTCTGATCTCCTGCTGTATCACTCGGAGTGTGCCTGGTCCCCTCTGGAGAGAACTGGTCTGAGCCCCTGCGGTGGCCTAGGAAGGCCCTGGCCTGCAGGTTGTGGGGCATAGCCCTTTTGAGGTTGACCCTACCTGCACTGTGGCGATGGTGCCAGGACACACTGGGGGTACAGCCTCCAGACGGGCACGTGCTTGGAGGGTCTGGAGCCCTTGGGTGTGGCATCCCCCCAGACACTGCGGGGGGTCAATGTAGAGCCACGTGCACCTGGTCCTGTGCAGCTCTGTGGTTCCCCTGGGCATGTTAGGGCAGTGGCTTCCCAAGTTCGTATTTGTGACGTCTGGGGAAGGTGGGGCGTTGGGGATTGAGCAGGCTCGGACCTGGGCACACTGACTGGGAACTGGTGCTCAGAAATCCAGCCAAGGCTGGGCATGGTTGCTCATGCCTGTAATCCCAGCTCTTTGGGGGGGCCAAAGTGGGAGGATCACTTGAGGCCAGGAGTTCAAGACCAGTCTGGCCAATGTGACAAAACCCCGTCTTTGGCCAGGCGTGCTGGCTTATGCCTGTAATACCAGCCCTTTGGGAGGCCGAGGTAGGCGGATCATGAGGTCAAAAATTGAGACCATCCTGGCCAACATGGTGAAACCCCGTCTTTACTATAAATACAAAAATTAGCCAGGTGTGGTGGTGCGTGCCTGTAGTCCCAGCTACTTGGGAGGCAGAGACAGGAGAATCACTTGAACCTGGGAGGCAGAGGTTGCAGTGAGCTGAGATTGCACCACTGCACTTCTGCCTGGCGACAGAGTGAGACTTCATCTCAAATAAATAAAAAACCCATAATACAAAATACCCAAAATACGAAAATTAGCCAGGCATGGCAGCACACACCTGTAATGTCAGCTACTGGGGAGGCTGAGGCACAAGGGCTGCTTGAGTCTGGGAGGTTGCAGTCAGCCATGATCGCACCACTGCACTCCAGCCTGGGCGACAGAATGAGACTCTGTCTTAAAAAAAAAAAAAAAGAAACCCAGCCAAGGGTACTATCATCTAGGCAGGCTTTAGAAGGCTCGGGAAGGAGTGGGGCCTGGGCAGAGCCAAGAGCTGTGTGGGGGCTGCCTCGGGAGGGCAGGGTGTGGGGTCCCAGAGGGAGGCAGGGTGTGGGGTCCCAGAGGGAGGGCTGGATGGGGTGATGCAGCGGGGGTGGGGGGATTGCCGCACAGGAGGAAGTGAGGCTGGGGGGTTGCTGGTTGGCTGTCCCCATTAGGTGACACCTGCTGCATGCCAGGACACATGTGAATTTCATCCTGGTGGTAGGGAGCAAGCAGAGACCCACGGGGTCCCGGGCGGCTACCTCAGGCGGGGTTGAGGAGGCCTCCAGCTCTGGGAGCCCAGCAGGGCTGCTGAGCCTAGGAGGCCGAGGCTTGCAGATGGTGTGGTGGTTGGGGTGACAGGCTCCCCACTGGGTGCAGGGTCAGCCCTACTCACCTGGCCTGTTGCCTCTTCAGGCCTTTAGTAGAGGGGGGCATAGGCAGGGGACAGTAGAGGCTGCTTCCTGCTGGCGGGGCCTTGCTTGACGCCCCCTGGATGCCTGCAGGGCGGAGTGTGGGCCTAGGAGGCCACCAGCTTCACCGGCTGAGCATTGCCCAGTGTATAGCTGAGCGGCTGCTGCAGCCCCGCCTCACTGGGGGAGGGCGGAATTGATCTCATCATTTTTTTAAAATTTAATGTTTTTAGAAACAGGGCCTTCTCTCCCAGGCTGGAGTACAGTGGTACAATCACGGCTCACTGCAGATGCTCTGGCCATGCCTTACCCTCCTGGGCTCAAGTGATCCTGCTGAGTAGCTGGGACTACAGGTGCATGTCACTATGCCTGGCTAATTTTTAATTTTTTGTAGGGACAGGATCTTGCTATGTTGCAACACATAGTCCTCAGCTGGGCAACATAGCAAGACTCTGTCTTGAACTCCTGGGCTCAAGTGATCCTTCTGCCTTAGTCTTTTAAAGTGCTGGGATTACAGGTGTGAGCCACTGGGCCCAGCCACACTCATAAAGACCAACATGAAGCTTTGCGCAGCGACAGCGTTGTAGCCTGTGAGGGTTATCTGAGGCGCGATGATTATAAATTGAAAACTTTTCCCAATACCCCGCCATGACGGCTTGAAATATAGTCAGCACTGGCAATTTTTGCCAGTCTCTATGGAGACTGAATTAAAAAAAAAAAGAAAAAATAAAAATGACCAACATGAGGCTGGGCGTGGTGGCTCACGCCTGTAATCCCAGCACATGGGGAGGCTGAGGTGGGTGGGTCACGTGAGGTCAGGAGTTTAAGACCAGCCTTGGCAACATGGAGAAACCCTGTCTCTACTAAAAATACAAAAATTAGCCAGGTGTACTGGCGAGCGCCTGTAATCCTGGAACTTGAGAGGTTGGGGCAGGGGAATTGCTTGAACCCAGGAGGCAGAGGTTTCAGTGAGCTGAGATCTCGCCATTGCACTTCAGCCTGGGTGACAGATTCTGTCTCAAAGAAAAAGAAAAAAGACCTGCATGATTGCATGGAGTGAGAGGAGAGGGTCCTGTGTGAGGGAGGGCTGGGGAGGTGTCTCACTCAACTTGACCACCACTGGCCCATCTGGCAAGCAAGGTTGAGCCACTGTGCCTGGCAGCCTGCTGGCTCCTGGGAATACTACGGTGAAGGTAAAGAGAAGATGAAGCTGGAGACGCTTTCCAGTGGTGGAGACAGGCAGCCACCAGAATGCTCGTACATTGGCCAGAAAGGTGCTTCTAGTTGGAAAATGCCTTCTGAGGAACAGTCGGGCATAGCATTGGGCAAGCTGCAGAGGGGCGTTCTCTGGATGGGAGGGCTTCTCTAAGGAGGTGACCTGAGCAGAGAGGAGGGAAAACAGGGCTCAGCTCTGCAGGCTGAGGTGGAGGTGGGGACGAACTTACTGTGTTCCAGGAGCACAGGGAGGCTGTGGGGCCAGTTCACTGTCCAGGAGTGTGGCTTGGAGGGGATGGAGCCAGCGGGACAGAGGACCAGGGCCCAGAAAAGGGTCTTGTAGGCCACAGGAGGGAAAGGGGGTTGGTTCTGGCTACTTGGGAATCCAGGGAGGTACAGGGGAGGACCCTGGGAGGGGAGGATCCAGGTCCCCAGGGTGTCTGGCCTGAGTGGGCAGTGAGTCAGGAGGGCCTGTGTGTAAGGCTGTGGACGCCAAGCTGAGGAGCAGAGCCTGCAAGCTCTCAAGCGGGCAGGGAGCACGTGGAGGTGAGAAGCCAAGCCTGGCCACTCAGGTAGCTGGCTGCAGGGGAGATGGGCATGGCCAGGGCGTCTGCTGAGATGGGAGGCTGGGGCCTGGGAATTGGGTGCGTGGGTCCCTCAGGTACCCTCCTGCAAGACGCACCATCTCCCTTCTTGCTTGCCTGAGAACTGAGATCTGCCTATCCTCAGCCCTGGCCAGGTGGGCTCCTAGGTAGGACCCAGCTTTGTTTTGTTTAATGCTGCAGTGTCTGGAGAGCCAGTGAGCTCTTCCCGGACCCTCCCTCAGCCCTCCTGGGTGGCCAAGGCCTCCATCAGCTGGGGCATTGCTGGGTGCTGCTGTTGTGTGGGCTGTGGATGGGGCCGGCAGGTGGGGCTGCTCCTTCATTTGGCTGCTTGAGTTTTCTCTTTCTGCGTTTTCTGCCCAGCAAAAGCTCAGTTCCAGCCCCACCTTTTTTCTTAAGGAGATGGCAGTATCCCAGTGTCCAGCGGGGACCACCCTGTGCGCCTCTGTGCTAGGGACGGGCGGGCTTCTGGAAGCTGCCAGGCAGCCCTGCTGTGCTGCCCAGTGGCCAGTAGAGGGTGCGCTTGCCCCTCCTATCCCCTCTATCCGCCCTTTTTTGGTAATTGATCGCCTAATTTCCTCTTTATGTGAAAGAAAGCAGATATCAAGTAATTTGCAGCAATAACCTGCTAATGCTGGGCCAGTATCGAAACTCCCCTGTTCATTTCAAGTGGCAGATAAAACGCTAATACATAATTATCCTTGCAAATTGGATTATTTTAAATAACCAAAAGGCTACGGCCAGGAGAAAGCGATCCCATCTCCCCTGAGTTACTATTGCAGCATAATTGCCGCGTTCAATCAATTTCCCTGGCATTAGAAATTCCATCACAATCAACATTAAGCTTTATTCATTGTGATGGCTAAGAGCCGGGCCATTTCTCCTCTTTTTCTTAACTGGCAAAATTAATCAGGGAAAAGATTTTAAACATTTACCCGTGCGAAAGAGGTCAGCCCTGCCACTATATTGCTCAGCAGATAAGGGGGCTAATAAAAAGAAAATTGAATTACTAATGATCACCAAGAACAGAGTATATAAAACCTGGCAATCGCCAGTTCAGGAAAAGGGAGAATCAATTTTCTCAGGACAAGGTGCATTCATTTTTTATTTCGGTGCATATGATCAGCAATTTAATTTGAGAGGCATAAACAGGAGGAAACAGTTAGGGAATAATGAGCCTGGAGGTGTAAAGTGCTGCAGGATATATGCTGTACACAATTTATTTGGCACAACAGATAATCGCTTTAATTGAATTCAAAAGTGCATTGTTCAGCAGCAGTGTGGCCGCTCACGCCTGGGGACTGAGGCTGTTGGGAAGGTTCCAGCCTGACTCTTTGGTGCCTCTCCTCCCTTCTCTGCCTCCCCGGCCCTCCACAGTCCTCTGGGCCTGGAGTCAGACCTCGGCTGGAGGTGGGGCAGGAGATTCCTGGGGGTCTGTCCCTCTGCTGTCTGTGTGCCCCTTGCCTTCTGTTTCTTCCTTGCCTTTTCTCCTGGGGATGGGTCTATTGGCAGCTGCGGGATGAGGATATGAGACACTGGCCAGGCACTGAGGCTCATGCCTGGAATCCCAACCCTTTGGGAGGCTGAGGTGGATGATTGCTTGAACCCAGGGGCTCAAGAGCCTGGACAACATGGCAAAACCCCATCTCTACAAAAAAACACAAGAATTAGCCAGATGTGGTGGCACATGCCTGTAGTCCCAGATACTCAGGAGGCTGAGGTGAGAAGATTGCTTAGGTCTGAGAGTTTGAGGGTATAGTGAGCTGTGACTGGCACCACTGCACCCCAGCCTGCGTGACAGAATGAGACCCAGTGTGGGGGATGTGGGGCCAGCATCGTGGTGCATCCTTCTGGGGCCCGTCACTGTGCTCAGCCACCCTGGGATGACAGGCGTGATGCCCTAAGCCTGGCCGGCCTGTGCAGAGGGGTGCTGTCCAGGCTGTACACTCTGGCCCAGGCCAGCTCTCCCACCTACCACCCTGCACCCAGGCTGAGGAGCTTCTTGGTGGCAGGAGGTGATGGGACTCCTACCAGCCACATGGAGACATCTGCTGTTTTATGCCAATGAAAAGTCGTGGCAGGTGGGTGGGCAGTGGTGTCGTCAGCTGCTGGCATGGGAGGGCCTTCTGCTTCAGTCACCTGGGATGGGGGACAGGTGCCGGTGGCCTGGCCCCTTCCCTTATGGCCTGGGATGAGCCCTGGGCCCTGCCTGGGAAGCGGCCGCCTTTCCAGACTCGTCGCCAGCGTGCTGGGTGAGTATGCAGGCCTGGCAGGGCCTGGGCACACCTGTGGTGGACAGAAAGGACCCAGCTTGCAGAGTGGACTCATGTGGACAACCAGGCTGACCCGAGGCCTACTGGCTGCCCAGGCTTTGACAGGAGCCAGGCCAGGCGTCTGCCTCTGGCCCACAGCTTGGTGGACACATGAAGGGCGCTTCCTACCCGTCCCTCAGTCTGCTCTGCTGGCCCCAGGGTGTGGAGGAACTGTTGTCAGCGTTCCCAGAGGAGAAGCAGAGTCTCCACTCACCCCAGGTCACTGGCAGAAAAGGCAGGCCAGGGTCTTGGACTCTCCTCTGGCTGGTGTCACCAGGTTCCGGGGCCGCCCTGCCTGGGTGAGTCTGCTGGGGCCCAGATGCCCATTCCTTATCAGCCTGGATGCTTGTGAATCCGGGTTTCTCTGAGAAGGTGCCTAGGGAGACCCTGTGTGACCTGCTGTCCCTCAGCCCCTCCCCGCTACTAGGTGGTTGACATGGCCTCTCCCAGCCACAGCCCAGGACCCAGAATGGGACTTGAGGGGCTGGGGTCCCTTGATCACATGGCGCTCCCTGGATACTGGATCTCACACTCTTGCCCTGGCAAAGCCAAAGGTAGCCTCCCAAAGCCTACCCGCCCGCCCAGTCCTGTGTGGGGTCTCCCCTACTGTGGTGGGACAGTTCCTGGACTGCTGCCTCCTGGCTGCTGGGTCTCGGAAGGACCTGCCTTGGCGGCTGTTCAGAGGGCTGTGACCCCTCTGAGTACTCAGCGGTCCCTAGAGCCCTCCCTGTGTCCTCGGGTCCTCCCCGGGCACGTGGCTCTTTTCTGTGTTGCCTCCCAGTACCTTGGGGAGGGGGCGGTTTGCCAGGCAGCCCTGGTGTCCAAGGCCTGGCTGGATTCTGCCCCCAGCCCATGCTATGGCTTTGCACTGTTTGGCCACAGATACTTACGGGGATGTCATTGAGCAGGCATCTGCTTGGGAGTGTGATGGCCCCTCTGCCCCTCTGTCCCCAGCAGCTTCTCCCAGTGGCCACCACAGCCTGTGGATTCCGGTGTGTGGGAAAAACCCAACTGCTTTCTCTCGACTGACCCTGCCCCTTCTCGAAGGCCTGGCCTAGCTCCAGCCGGGCCCACCCTCTGGCCAGGCCCCTCCCCATCCATAGGTGTGCACAGTTTGCTCCCCTCATTCAGGAGTCTGTGAAGTGGGCCGTGGTCTGCCTTCCCAGGCCAGCTCCTTGCTCTGCCACCAGGAGCATTCCTTCCTCCTGCTGCAGGAATTGCTGTGTATTGTCTATCCTGCCTGTTAGGAAGGTTCTTTGGGGAGTACCCTGGCTGCCCTGTGTGCAGGACAGTCACCACACTCAGCGGGCAACCGAGGGCTGAGGGCCTGGCAGAGGGCTGCTGCCCACCAAGAGGAAAAGCCACAGGGCTTCCTGCCCAGACACTGTCCTGCCCCTTTGAGACACGCAGGCTGGTGGAGGTCGGCCGCAGCACTCAGAGGCCTGGTGAGCGAGCCCCGAGTCTGGTGCTCATGGCCTGGATCTTTGCTGGATGCCAGGAGGAGGGTTATGAGCCCCCAGGCGTGGTACAGGCATGGCCTGGCAGGAGACTTTGGGTCCCGTCCGTCTGTTCT